GGCAACACAGAAAGGAGAATTCTACGTAGTGAGGGTTATAATCCCTAAGTGCGGCCGAAGACCGCCTACGCAGAAAGTGGTTCTCTGCAAAATGTGTTCAGCCTCCCTTCTTTGGCAACACAGAAAGGAGAACTCTACTTAGTGAGGGTTATGATCCCTAAGTGCGGCCGAAGGCCACCTACGTAGAGAGGTGTTCTCTGCAAAAGGTGTTCAGCCCCTCTTCTTCGGCAACACAGAAAAGAAGAAAAATTCTACTAAGGGAAGATTCCAAATTAAAAATCTGCTTTTATTATTCAAAATTCTAGTCTGGCAGCAGCATGTTTGATGTTATTTTGCTGTCTTATTCATCGTTTATACGAAAACTTTAACAACAAATTATATAAAAACTATAGGGTTGCTAGAAAAAAGGGGGGGTATTTTTTAAATCAGGGAGTCCTATTCTATCCCCCTCATCACCACTTTTTCTAGAATTTGGCGTCCGCATACCAAAATTTTCCCCAACCATATTCAGAATGAAAAATAAAAAATTGTAAAATCACAATTTTTACCATGATAGAGGAAAATCATCATTCGCAACTTTTGTTGACTAGCTATTGCCAGATGTGATTTTCATTCACATTAAAACAACCATATTCACAAAGAAAAATAAAAAAGCGTAGAGAAATATCACCTTTCGCAACTTTTAATGACTACCTATTGCCAGATGTCATGGTCCAACTACACAAGATCTGACAAGATGGAGCAAAAGAAAAAAGTAAATTTCTGGCTGACGTTTGTAATTTCGGCGCCATGTTATTTTCTGTGAAAAGTAAACAAAGAATATGGAAAAGAAGCATAAAGAAAAAATGCAAGCAATGTTGTGCACATGTTTGTGCTAACCAATTTATTGTTTATGTACGTGTTTTTGCATTCAATCACCGCGCACTTCATTTTAATTACATTTGCACAAAAAATCACTTAAAAATCACTGAAATAAACCACCGACAAAATACACATAAACAAAGAAGCAAAACAGAAATAGCAAACATCAAAATTACGAACGTCACACACTTTTTGGCATACATCAAGATAACCAACCGTTCAGCTAGAGAAAAACTAAAAATGCAGATTGCTAGTACTTTTTACGCTGATTTTAACTATATAAATATTATTTGCCGCAATTAAAAAGCAAAGCAGATATAAGAGGTAAAACAAAAAAATGGTGATATTTTAAAACATTAATATTTTCTAAACTGCGTAACCGATTTAAAAACTAATGATGTCAAAATAAAGACAATTAATTTATCTTCAAGCTGATATATAAAATGTGTATGCTTTTTTATATATTTAAGCCAAAAATATTATAAAACCAAAAAAATGTCATAATAATAAAATGTAATAACCCTTTTTTAGAAAAAGTCCATAATCAATGCTAAACAAATTTATATTATTTAAAAAGTGCAAGTTCTTACCTTTGATTTGATATACTTATTATATTATGATTTGCTTTTGAGTTTTCAGAATTCAGTGATAATAAAAAATATAAATGCATGTATGTGCAAATGCATATTTTAGTTAATTAAACAAGGCGAGTTAACGGACTTTTTTGGAAAGGGTACTGTTTTTGTTGGAAGCGGGAAAATTTATGCCGTTTTATATGTACATATATGTATATACTTACAGATATTTTTCATTTGTTTGTGTTCCGGCGGAGATAAAAAACGTGTTTTGAATATTTTTTTAATAAGATGAATACTCTTAATTTATTTAAAATATATAAAATGTTTGAAAGTGAGGACGGTCTTAAGATTAATGCAAATGTGCTCGAACATTTGCAGGAGTGGAATTTAATTCCTCGTGAAGGGCAATATTTATGCGCTCGGGGCCATCCGCTGAAATTGTTGGAGTGCACTGCATCATCGGATGGATTCGTTTGGAGGTAAGTTTACCGTGCGTCTATTAAACTGTAATACAAAAAAACATTATGTGTAGGTGCCGTAAAATTTCGAAGTCTGGAAAGCAAGTGCGAACGTGTAATCAGCAAATTTCATTAAGAAAAAACACAGGAGAATTCTACTTAGTGAGGGTTATAATCACTAAGTGCGGCCGAAGGCCGCCTACGTAGAAAGGTGTTCTCTGCAAAAGGAGTTCAGCCTCACTTCTTCGGCAACACAGAAAGGAGAATTCTACTTAGTGAAGGTTATAATCACTAAGTGCGGCCGAAGGCCGCCTACGCAGAAAGGTGTTCTCTGCAAAAGGTTTTCAGCCTCACTTCTTCAGCAACACAGAAAGGAGAATTCTACTTAGTGAGGGTTATAATCACTAAGTGCGGCCGAAGGCCGCCTACGCAGAAAGAAGTTCTGGGCAAAAGAAACTATGATATCACCCACACTTGTCACTTTTGCTTGTAAATGCTTTTAATTTTTTTTATCACTAAATTCTTAAACCTTAAAAGTAGATCATAATAAAATATGCATATCAAATTAAAGGTAAGAACTTGCACTTTCTAAATAATATATATGTTTTTAGCATTGATAATGCACTTTTTTCTAAAAAAGGTTATTTTATGAAAAAATTATAACATTTTATTTGTTTTTTAATATAGTGCCAATGCTCCGATTAATAGAACTCTAGCTGAGTTTAACGTCTTCGCAAATTCTTTAGACCTAGACTTATCAGTTTCTAAATCTGCTCTTAAAGCCCAGTTAAGTGATTATTTTATCAGTCATTAGTGTAGTTTATGATCTCAACTTATATGTAAGCGTTTGTTAATTTATTTTGAGTGTGGCGAACTGCCAAAAAAATGTCAGTTTCATGTGAATAATTGTTTTGAATAATGTAATTAAACTAGTAATACTTTCCAACATGTGTAGTCTGTAAGAATATTCTGTTCATTGACTTCAGTAAATAAATAAATAAATAAATAAATAAATAAATATATAAGCAAGCAAACGCATTTTATATATGGGCTTAAAGACGGATTAATTGTCTTTATTTTGATATTATTACTTATTTAATCGGTTACGTAGTTTAGAAAATATTAATATTTTTAAATATCGCAAAAATTTTCTTTAACCTTTTATATCTCCTTTACTTTTTGATTGCGGCAAATAATATTTATATAGTTGAAATCAGCGTAAAAAGTACTATCGGTCTGCTTTTTTAGTTTTTCTATAGCTGAACGGTTGGTTATCTTGATGTGTTCCATGTGAGTTTCATTCATAGCGAAATATCAATCACTGATATTGTAGCCTAGCTCTAGCAGTCACTAATACCGATTTTTAAATCACAGTGATAAAATCACCGGTAGAGAAATATCGCTCATCACTAGTTTAAATGTCTAATTAATAGTTTGGCTGGAACTTGAGAAAAACAATTGATCGTTTTATTTAAAAAAAAGTTTGGGAGCTTTATTTAAAAAAAAAATTGGTAGTTTTATTTAAAAAAAGGAGGATTCCAACATGCGTGTGTCAATTTGCCGATTAAACCAAGTATCTCCAAAGTTAAGAGAGCTGCGAATTCACCTTTGTCAGACGGACGAAGCTTCGTTTGGGGCGAGGTAGGGGTACATATATAGTTGCATAATACGGGAAAGGCCATGGCATATTTAACAAGGTAGAAGGAAAGAACGTAGGTCGGTGTTATGCAGACAAACTTTTGTTTGCCAAATTAAATGGCGGCTGCTTAGTTTGCTCGGAAGTGGTTATGCCGAGTTTGGCACAGGGTTGCACGTTCATTATGGTTTTCATGGGAAATGTTTAGTACCACTCACACCGTTTTTTGGGTGGGGGCGGAGGGGGAGGGGGCGGTGCCCCCAAAACACCCCCCAATAGAAAGGAGACAGTCGCCGCTTTCTAAAAAGGGGAACCCCTCCCTTGGACTCCTCCCACAGGCACCTAGGGAACCGTTTGAAAAAGGGGAAAAAACGGATTTTTCTTAGGCAACTGAGCAGTTTGAAGTGGAATATGACCCAACTAACAGAAACCGTGGGATTTTTTAATAAAAGAAATTATGCCAAATTAGATATGGGGGGATTTTGAATAAAGAATAAAAAGTTAATTAAAAATAGAAAAAAAAAGTTTTTATAAAAAAAATGTTCTTTTTAACAAATGTATTTTTGCGTAGAATTCCTTTCTACGTAAGCGGCCTTCGGCCGCACTTAGGGATTATAACCCTCAGGCAGTAGAATTCTCCTTTCTGTGTTGCCAAAGAAGGGGGGCTGAACACCTTTTGCAGAGA